ATGATCTGGTTGAACTGTAAGGTGCCTTGAGATGACATGTGTTGTTAATTGGCGCTATAGAAATAAACTGAATTGAATTAAACATTTCCACATCTTAATGTTCTTTAAAAGCCCACTGAGGCCTTCACAGAACACCTGGATTCACACAAATTTAGAAATAATCATTTTTCAAACGATTATGCTGTCAGATTTATTTTCATTTACAGAAATGGATTGCGAGAGGCTAACACAACAGAAATTATTACAAGATTTAAGCTTAAAAAGCTCTGAAAATGTTCACTACACCCCCAGTGACACCTTTGAAGTCTTTGGGTTTAGTCTGGAAAAATGTAAAAATAAACAAGACGGATGGTATTATGAAGGCTTTTACTGCTGAAGTCTGCTGCTTTGCCAGCCTTCAATACTCTGTTTACAATTTTTATGAAAGAAATGCTATGTTCTATACTTATTTATTGTTTTAACCGTTTTATCATCAGCTCCTTTATTTTTTGTGTTTCTATTTGTTCAGTCACTTTTTAAAAAAAGATTGATAAATAGATACATGTTCAGCCCCTATTAGATGACGACCATCTGCACATTTTGGGTTATTACACTTCAAAGCAATGTAATGAATGAAAACTAAGCATCTAAACAAATACTCCGTTTACGATTAATGATTAATTAATGGTTTATTAGATTAGAAGTCGTTCCATCTGCTTAAAAGGAATTGCTTTTAGTGTTATGATGATCAACTAGAGGGCGCTGCTGCTCATTCCTACGTGGAGACGAGGGGTCATGTGTATCAGATTCACAACTTTAAGAATTCACAATATCATTGCTGTTAAAATGTCGATCAAATGCAAAATACTTCAATCTCAATTATATAATCTTAATCCACACTGCAAACATCAAGTTTGACCAAACAGATGGTAATCAGACACATTATGAGACGAAAAAGTGATTCAAGCTGTGGTGATTAAGTCCTTATTTTAGTGCAACAAAAAAAATAATAGAATAAAACCGGTATTTATGTCCTGCTTTGTAATCCAGGGCAGAATAATTTGCAAAGTTGCGAATAAGTTTTACGTTGGCTGTGGAAAAATTGAGCAGGTCTCCTCTCTGTTTTCTTGGCTCTGATGGCAAAGCCTCCCATGCCTTGCCCTGAAAGCATGGGAGGCTTTTGGGCAAGGCAACTGCCTGTGAGACAGCGCTCAGGGAAGCAGGGAGAGACTTGAAGGAAAAGTCTGGTCAGCGAGGAATAACCAGTGGGTCATTATTTATACCTAAAACTAATACCGTTGCGGGGATTTAATTAATTTAGAATAAATTAGTAAAAAATAGGGCTGAACAATTAATCGCATTTTCAATATAATCGCGATTGAAAAATATGCAATTTCCAAATCGCGGACGTCTGCAATTTTTGGCTATGTAACAATTAGTGAATCAGACGCGTTCTTTAGGTGTCAGTAAAAT